AATTTTATCATCGGTACAAGGAAATCATTCGTAAATATAAATCAACATGCAGACATCTTATTCGTTCAGGTATTTCACATCCAATATTTAATGGTAATATTCTTTCCAAAGCACAAAAATGTCGGCATTCACCTCAAAAGCTAACCAAACCTTTTAACAGACAAAACTATTTTCATTTACCTGTGTATTATATGACGCAGGTTTCTTCAAAAGTGATGCTTTTCTAAAAATTGTTTGACATTTCACAGTGATATCATACTTTAACTTTGTTAAAACCTGTTTATTTACTTTTGACTTTAATTATTTATCCCTTGTAATTTTTTATTAACTGTGTATTTGCATTCAGGTGTCACAGGTCAAATTTATTCGTTCATTGTTGGTTAATTAACGTTTTTTAATTGAGTTAAGCCTTCCAATTGATATTTTATAATGTGTTTTTCTATGTTGTGATGTTATACTATTGTTTCAAAAAAGGGAGAAGGTTTGGTACCATTAAAACGTTTAATCCCGCTGCAAATGTTTGCACCTGTCCTAAGTCAGGAATCTGATTACAGTAGTTGTCGTCTGTTAATGTAGTTCATACGTGTTTCTCGTTTTTCGTTTTTATATAGATTAGACCGTTGGTTTTTCCGTTTGAACGGTTTTACACTCAGTCTAGTAATTTTTTGGGGCCCTTTATAGCTTGCTGTTCGGTGTGAGCAAATGCTCCGTGTTGAAGGCCGTACCTTGACCTATAATGGTTTACTTTTATAAATTGTAACTTGGATGGAGAGTTGTCTCATTGGCACTCATACCACATCTTCCTATATCTAATTATTCGGAAAGGATATAGTTACGATACTGTTGTCAAGTCATTAAGAATTGCATATTTTGGTATTAATATTGATTCACTCATATGGACTTTGCATCGGAAATAAACACATTTATTCTAAAACCAGTTGTTGGCATGATACGGGTTATGTTCTTCTTATATATTTTATGATGGTATGATACTAAACCCCTAACGGGAGGGATTGCACTTGATTTTCATATGATGAAGACATAATCTTTCAATCAGTTTAATTGAGGTTTGGAGCTGGCATGTCAGTAACTGCTAGTAGTCCTTTGTTCATTTATGTATCATTGTCATTTTGCTTAGTTTCTTTTGTTACCTATTCTGACATCGGACTCGGACTTCTTTTAAACTGAGTTTTACTGTGCGTATTGCTATATGTTTCTTTTTTCTACATTGACTAGAGGTATAGGGGAGAGATGAGATCTCAAAAAACATGTTTAACCCCGCCTCATTTTTGCGCATGTCCCAAGTCAGGAGCCTCTGGCCTTTGTTAGTCTTGCATGTTTTTTAATTTTAATTCATTTATATGTTTTGGAGTTTAGTGTGACGTCCATTTTCACTGAACTAACACGCAATTTTATTCAGGGGCCAGCTGAGGACCAGCTCCGGGTGCGGGATTTTCTCGCTGCATTGAAGACCCATTGGTGGCCTTCGGCTGTTGTCTGCTCTTAAGTCGAGTTGTTGTCTCTTTGACATATTCCCCATTTCCATTCTCAATTTTACTCCAACTCCGAATACTACGGTGGAAAAAAGAGCGACAGGTGCTGCTATTGCAACGCAGAAGGACACTTTGCCGACCAGTGCCCAAAAGAAATCATCAAGACTCCAAATCGGAAAGCAGTACTTAAACAGTAAAGAATATACGTAATTCACTAGAACAGGATTACGAATATGAAAATTTAAGCAGTTTATCAAGCACTCATTGGGTTGAAAGTCTAAATTATAGATTTACCTTTTCGAAAGATACTTTACAAGCAAATAACTTAGTTTTAAATGTTATTCCCAGTTGTCCTATAATTCCTTCCTTTGGAAATCTCTCTTCATTTCATTAAAAGAATAATATATGAGCTATCATGTATACTTGTTTTGTTGAGACAGCGACCAAGAAACTACTGGACTGCGGAGCCGCAGTAGAATGTAAGCATTGGATTTCTCAAGTGGTTAACCCATGAACGATCTCATTGAATGAAAAAAATCCACATGCGTGTTATGTGATCCTCTCTGAAACTACATGTTCAATCGACATTTTGTCTTACGCTGTATTTTTTGTTTCAAAAGATGTCGTTTAGTTTTTTTGTATATACTATCATACAGTCTATACGCTTTTGAAACTGACACTGTTTAACCGAACACTTTTCTGTGTAAGAGTTATCTCCCTGAACACTGTTTTTCTTGTTATGAGATCTCCTTCGCAACCGTAAAAGAAACCGACAAATTTATTTTTCCAAAATACTAATTATATCCTCAGGATTTAACATTATGTTTTGACCGAAGCTTTCTAGAGACTCCATATGAGAGTTATTCCACCTTATGCATTTGATATAACTGATATGCATTTCTAACTGGTAAACCTTAAGTGATGGAGACCTATGGTCTTTTGATTTGAGGTCCTTGGTCCCAAAAAATAAAAATATATCAGAGGTCAAGGTCATATTATAAAATGAGATTCTAGTTGATTTTCAAAAACCGTATAAGACACCGACAACATATTTTTACTTCATTGTTAGTTGCGACATGTCGTAACACATACATTTTGGTTGAAAAGGTACGCTTACATTAAATCGGAGTTTTCTCCCCTCTTATGTTTAAAATTACGCGTATGGTGATATTACTCATTCGCCATATATAATAAAGACCTAGTGTCATTTATTTGAGGTCCTTGGTTTATGATCTTCAAGTTGAGCTCAAGGTCATAGGTAAATTTGACATTCTAGATTTTGACCTTTGCTTTTACTTCCTAAGTATTCATGATAAAGCCATGGGACGTTTTGCATTAGGTTGCAAGGCAACCAGAAGTGACCTTGCGTAAACTGGAAGTAGCTATTTTTTTATTCTTGTGTAATGTACAAGTATATTGAACCATATAATTTTGGAATCAGTGTCAAGTAAACTATCAAATAATACCGGAAGTGAAAATTTTCAAACTTGAAGTAACAAATTATAATCCTTATTTGAATAAAATGTCTCGAAATGACATTTTAAACCTAATTTTAATATTTTTGAATCAAAAAAGATCAGTGAAATCCTACAATACAATGTCTGCTCATAGATTAAAACACAAAATCTGTGTTACAAATTTTTGCTGAAAAATGTACATTTTATGAAAATAATGAATAAACGTGTTTTAAATGTACACAGGATCAATTAAATTCAAATCATGCACTGCTCGTGAACTGTGATTATAACATCAATTACAAAAATGTACCTGCAATGACAAAAGAAATATATTGTGTGTGATTCCGTCGATATACATGTTGTCTGCCAACGTCTCCACCTAAAACGAAATAAAAAAAAGTTTTCGCTATTATAAACCATCGTCACGTGACGTCTCAATCTAGCGCAAGAGACGCTCGCTGGACCTGAAATAGACTTAAAACTTTACTAACTAAATATAAAAACTTAACCATGCCAAGAAATTGCCTCCGTTGAAATTCTGTAAGTATCACACAGAGCAAATTACATGGATGATTACTATTGACCATTTGGTATTCGGCCCTGTTCTAAGCGACACGTAGATTAATTAATTTGTCAAATGAAATCAAATCTGTAACTCCTCATGGGTGCCGTAGGAGGTCTACCGGAATTTTTAACGAGGATTTCCTAGCATGGGTAACACAATAATATGGACCCCTTAAAGAAAGAAAGAAACAAAGAAAGAAAGAAAGAAAGAAAGAAACACACATATCAATCAATCGTGTTTCAAAGGCGCAAAGACCGTTTACAATTGCTTTTTTAATGCAAATGGTTTACATTTATATTTATTTATGCTTATATCGGGTTATATGACCGTCTGCAGTCTTCGTGGTTATCACGAGGGTTAATTAGAAGACGCATAGAATAACATACACACGAAATGCTGATACATAATAACGAGTACATGTATCATAAATTGTTTATTTTAGACCTCTTGAATATATAAATTTGAGTCAAATTGATGAACATGAACTTGACAGCTAATGCTCGTTTTAGTGATTTGTACAAATTTTGACTGAACTTCAAATTTTTCTTTGAAATATCGAAATAAATATACCAATGCTACTGAAATCAACGGTCTGTATTTATATATACACCTGGAAAAACGTATTGCAACACTTCCATTGAAAACAATGTAAAATGACATAATTGTAGAATGTGTATAATTTGGGTTTTACAGAAAACTTTTAATCCGTTTTTGGTTTAAAATTGAATTTGTGTTAATAACTTACATTTTAGGCAAAATTAAAACTAGAATGACGCATTATTAGAGCTGTACTGAAAAAGTTATTCAAGCTTTGTCTTGTCTTCTATACCGACATTTAATAAAAGAAGTTTTTACAGCAAACAAAATATCTGAAACAGAAAATGTGTGTTAAACTAGGCATTTCAAACAGTTCTGAATGAGTTTAATGCATAACAAAATCTTATTTATTGCACAACTAATGCTTTGGAAAAATGAGTCCTGCAAAATTTGCATTTTTTGTGAAAAACGCGAAAGCCTATTTCCGTGCAGGCAGCTGTTATGTCTTATCCATCTGGCATTAATATTGGATGAAAGGAAAGTTAATACCATGAGTTCAATTTCAAAACATAAACGGATTAAAAGTATTTGGTAAAACCCAAATTATGCACATTCTACAATCATGTCATTTTACATTGTTTTCAATGAAAGTGTTGCAATACTTTTTTCTAGGTGTATATGTAACTCTTTACAATAAATAATCAAAGGAATTAGTTCTCTATACACCGCACGAAGCTCTGTTCTCGTTGGGATGCGTCAAAGTCAAAATGAAGATCGTGTTTTATAACTCAAACATTTAACATATGAAATGAATTGTTATGCCTGTTAATTGTAAACATCAGTTTTTTACAATTTTGAACTAGTTAGTACAAGAAATGAAACATCACAGAACACTTCGTGCATTATCTTAATAACATATTTTCGGTTTTAAATTTAAGATATCGAACACATTGTACTCATGTTTTAATAAACAAATTGAATCTAAAATTACTACATATCTTAAAATAGACATGTTTATGTATGAAATTAATCACCAAATTATCTGATGAATATAGTTTATGACAAAGAACACCTTAAAATGTATTCTTGTTAACATTCCACAGATTAAAGCCCTTAATGAAAATTGTAAATTAACATGCATGTGTATAGTGAGTATCAAACTAAATGATTTATTTAAATGTAAAAAGAGACATTTCCAATCTATTTTGGAATTTTAATTAATGTTTTACATTATCATTATTATGGCAGCCAAGAATTTGATTAGACGAAACATATAAATACTTTGTTAAATATTTATCCAAAACCATTTTAAGATTTAAGACAAAGAAGTTTATACAATGGCCGTTGTTTTTATCATTTGTGTTTGTATTTGTTACGTTGGGTTGTTTGCTATTTTGATTGGATCCTCTTTGGAACCCTCACTGCAATGTTCCAAATATCACTTTGAAGAAAAGGTTTTGGAAAAACGTGTTCGTCTAGAACTTAAGATGGAAACGTATGAAACAAAAATGAAAACTTAGGAAGACTTAATTCCAAAAAACCTTGATAAGATTGACGATGCCAAAAAACAGACTGAAACATTTTTAGAATCAACGCAGAACATCATACACCAGGAGTATAAACGATTAAATGATTCTTTCCAGGAACTGTTGAAAATATATATCTCAAATCGAAAGTTAGAATAAAAAGTATCTATGAATATAAAATTGGTGAATTCGAGAATTAAAGGGAAAGTGCCCTTGAACTTTGGCAAACTTCTGAAATGCAATATCAGTAACGATTTAACGTGTCGTTCCAAAATATGTATATTCAGTCGGAAAGACAAGTCAAAAATGTTTAAGATTCAGTATCAACTAAAATGGACGAATTCAGCAAATCCTACAAGAAAAGAGAAAATGCCCTGGAAGTTATGCAATATTCTCTAATGTTAGACCAAGAACGGTTTAACGAGTCTTTCCAGGAAAAACTTGAAACTGAGTATATTCAGTTGTAAAGTAAATTTAAAATGTTTTAGATGCCATATCATCTAATATGGAAAATTTCAGTGCGTCCCACAGGCAAAAGAGAAAATGCCATGGAACTTTTACAATCTACGTTCCTGCGCACGCAAGATCAAGACAGATTCAACCTGTCGTTTCATCTCACGAGGCATAAATCGAAAAGGACATAAATAAGACGACACAAAACGTTATGTTGGAACAAAAAGAAGGTAGGCATTTTATTAACATTATTTTTTTGTCTTAATATCAAATCGCACTTTTTTTTTTTATCCCAATACTATTATCATTCTTTTTACTTTTGATTATGTTTCTCTTTTTTTGGTACATGAAGATTTTAGCGAACAAGGTTTTTCAAATATAAATACAATACTTTTTTCTATGTTTAATATGAACAAAAGAAGATGTTGGATGGGTGTCAATGAAAAGTTTAAGCATCTAAACAATGCAAGCGCCAATCTAAAAAAAAACTGCTTTTCATATAGAGTTTCACTTTTTATAAATGAAATTACGATTAATAAGTTATCTGATATAAGTTATATAAAATTAATATTTATTTTAGAGTTACAAGGATTCGTAAACTATAGCTTTTCTAATTATGTTTACCCGTGGATGTTTTTTTACAAATCAGTAAATAGAATAAAAAAGGTTTTTTTAAAACTTAAGACAAATGTCAGATGCATGTGGATATTTATCTTGCTGACTTTCTTTAAATATTAACGGGCCATTACAATTACAATTATAAAACAATAATAGAGATGGAAAAAATGATAATTTGATTAAGAATGGATTACACCACGACAAAAAGAATTGAAAGCGGACAAAAAACTACTTTAAAAACACTTCGCGCAAATTTTGATTAAAGTGAAAAAAAAAGGGAAACACTTACTCGAACTCCAAAGTTTATTAAAAAAGGGGAGTTTGTACAAGGAGAGCACATAAATGGTTAATAAATAAACTATTACATATAATGATATTTTTAGTGCAAATTGTTGACGAAAACCCCTACGGTCATGAAGGTAACATTGACAATAGCACCGTCGTACTGTGTCATTAGTTTACGTAGGCAGGTTAAACAACGATGCACAAAACGTTTTAAACCATTCACAATTTATGTTTAAAAAATAAGAAAGAAAATATACAAAGTAAACATTTTAGCGCTTTCAGTCGTCGCATCGGCTCTCTGGACAGTTTATGAACGTTACTACGTAATTACAATTTTGGTTTGTGACGTCGCATAAGGAACATTTAAACTGTTTCCAGTTAAGCTTTGGCTTAGATTTCCGAATAAAGTATTCCTTTTTGGCTCTTCGGGTGGATATATTTTCAATCAAGACTTTAAATAATGGGAATAAACGGACATTTCTCATTCCGTATCAGTCATTATGTTCGCTGCAGGAAGATTTCTGACTGAAAAAAAAACCAAATATGCTGTTTATACACTCTTACCCTTTCAATGAGAGCATCAGCTGTCCTATACAATTTTTATTGCACGTTGGAATGTTGAGCAATATAACTGAATGCGGGTTTTAAAGTTCATTTGGGAATTTATTTAAAATTATCTCGAAATTTGAAATTTAAATGTCACCAGCATGTCCCACATCGACGATCTCCTAATCATTGTAATTGCGCATTATCTCCTTTAGATTTTGAATCTAGTTTTGAAAAGCAGCCATTTCAAATTCGGCGGTTGTCTACGGCTGTTTGTTATTTTTGATTTCGGAATAAAAAGTAAAATAACCAATTAAAAACTCCAAGGAAAATTCAAATCCTAAAGTTCCTTATCATATGGCAAAATTAAAAGTTCAAACACTTCAATCAAATGGAAAAGAACTATCATATTCCTGACTTTGTACAGGCATTTCCTTATGTGGAAAATGGTGGATTAAACATGGTTTCATAGCTAGTTAAACCTCTCATTTGTAAGACAGTGGCATCAAATTCTAATATATTGACAACAATGTGTGAACAAAACAAACAGACACTGGTGTCTTTAGTCGTGCAGATTAATTATATGACAGCATTTCGAAATGATATTATATCATAATGTAATCGAAACACACATGTAGTTTATATTCAATATCCTGTTTGCATCATTCATGTTGACGTGCTAAGAACTAATGGGAAACATAAAAGAACCAAAATATATAAAACTGTGAAAACACCAAACAGGAAATAATCGAAGAATTCTGCTAGCTCTTTGTTGGTGTAAGGTGTAAATTGCTTTGTACTCTCCAAGCATACTCTTCCGTCTTTTGGTTGATCATTTTCAGTAATCTGACTTTGATTAAGATGATCAAGATGATTTATCCTTCCGGCTTTGCACTTTAACTTCATGAATTTTCTTGCCAAGGAATGCATCCACTTTGGAGCCTTGTCGTGTTCTGGTTGATGGAAAAGCCGTATGATAAATATCGTAAAGATAATCACTAGACAGGCCATTCCCAATGTTACTGTAAGAAATACCACTGCAAAAGAAAAATTATTACCGTTTTACTAATAACTACAACAATGAATTGATTAAAACTGCATCTCAAGAAAGGAAAGTGCGAAAATGATGCCTAATGCAACAGCTTTTATGACATTTTTACAAAACCTGCCAATACATATGCACTAGTAAATGAACTTTAGTCTTTAAAATTTATTTTGATCTTACAATCATCTAAAATGTCTAAAAAACATTTGATTGATCATGTTCAGTCTTTCAGTAAATTGTGGGACTTATTCACTGCGTTCAATCCGTGACATGGACAAATAATTTGCTTACAGTAAAGTTATGTTCAGTAGTTTTGTAAGACATTTGAGTATAATGGTGACGGTTCGAAAGAAAAAAAATCTACTGAACAATCTGAACATTAATAGAACCTTGCTATAATTATTATCTTATATACGTCTAAACCATACTAAAAATATTTGAATACACAAATTAGTCGATACCATAAGGAACCAGATTCCTTGTCACTTAAAAAAGGCAACACAATGATTGATTGGTTGGTTGATATTTGTTTTACGCCGCCTCAGCGCAAAAAGATTATCACGGCGATATATAACATTGTCACCAGCAGCGGAATCTGGTTAATAAGGCAGTCAAAATAATAAATAAAATGTAATTTTACCTAGAACTGAAGTATGTTTTGATGTCGTAGGCATAGTGTCTGAAAATAACGTCAATAAAACCGCCAAAGCAAGTAACACTGTCAAAATATATCCGATCTTATCTCCAGATTCAAGCGGCAGAAAAAATGTAACGAATGTTAATATAGCAGTAAGGATTGTCGGAAATATTACACTCATCAGGTAATGACCATACAATCTTTCAAAATCCATTCGAAACAAAAGTTCGGAAAACACCAGTTCGTCTTCAGTAAGATTAGATGTTTCCTGGGAGGTTGCTACAAGGTTCCACTCTTCATCTGGTCTGTAGTCCTCTAAATTTATATGAGTTTTGAAGAATTCTAAGTTGACAACATCAGTAGGGAAACCCCAGATAGCTAGTTCTATTTCACAGGTTTGACTGTCATATGGGAAGTATGTGACATCCATGTCACATGACGTAGACAAAACAGCTGGTGGTTCCCATCTTAACTCCCCGTTATGTTGTATTCTAACTGTCTGGTCGGCACCAAGATTTTTCCGTAATTCCAAAATACTAAAATTGAAATCAAATATTATTTTGTTAGATATTTGTTTCGCAAGAAAACGAAAGACACGTGTTATTGTTACATCTTTAAGTTAAAATAAACTAATAAATGATCTCAAAATAACAAATATACAAAAGAAATTTGGATACTTTCACGTTTGTGTTTGTTCTTTGTCGTAGCTAGTCAATATTAACGTTTAAGTTAAATTCTGCATTCAAAATGTATATCCAAACTATTAGAGGGGCGGCTTAGTACCGAAATTTGACAAAATGATGCAAATGGTGATACAAGCATAAGATTTGGCACATACGTTCTAAAGGGTGTACATTAGCATATAAGAGGGGTAGCCAACACATTTTTAAATTTTTAACGGTGGCCATCTTGAATTTAAAATTGACATCATTTTGTTAAATATTGAAATTTCAAAACAAATCCACAACGTTCTAATGTGATATTTGTCATGACAACTATTTCAAATACAACAAAATGACATGAGAGTATGTCAAACACACAGTAATTGTAAAAATAACTCACCACTTTCGGTTAGGGTTGTAAAAGTTCATACAATCGAGTTAAACATATATATTTTTATGTTTATATATGTGAGTAATTAAGTACCACATATTTTTAACCATATTTTTCTTGTGCTTATTGATAATTAACATGTTTGAATTACGTACGAATTCTGCACAATCAATTTAGGGTGCCATACTATGTCCTCAGGTACATATATATAGTCAATATCTCCGTAGGATGATTTAGTCCATGTTAATCGACTATCATTCCATACCTACAATTTCAAATGACAGTATAGCTACAATAAAGTATCAAGTATATCTTTAAATGTCAAGTTACCTTTATATATATATATATATATAAAACAACTTTTAACGTTGTTTTCAATTGAGACTTGTATATATAACAAATTGATATATGATAAAATTTTAATTTAATGTGACATCTGGTACTGTTTTACAACCCTTGATAAAAAGTAAAATAACAAAAATACCGAACTCCGCGAAAAATTCTATAACGGAAATTCCGCAATCAAATGGGAAAGATAAAAGCTCAAACACACCAATTGAATGGATAACAACTGGCATATTCCTGATTTGGTACAGACATTTTCTTATGTAGACAATTGTGAATTAAACCGGGTGTAAAGCTGCCTACACCTCTTACTTCTCAACTTTAAAAGAAATTATTATTGCAAAAAAAATGCTGGTTATCCATGATAGACATTTTGAAATTATGACATTTTATTGCAATTAAAGGCATACAAATCTAGTTTCGGTTTGCCTGAGGATTATGTTACAAGTTAAACATTTAATAATATACTGTTGCTATTTAAATACTATTATTATTAAAATTATATTGTCCGCATAAAACGGTGGGATCAAATATTTAAAATATTGGATGAGGATAGAAAATTCCCTATACCGTAAAATGCATTTTTTTCTCAAACTCTTCGCAAAAAGTAAAAATACATCAGAAGTGGCAATTGTTAGAAGGAGCATTTAATGAATCTGGTAACATAATCAAATCTGTTGTAATATATTTTAATATATCATTATAAGCAATCGTCGATACTTAATTTGGCATAGTTTTATTCATAAGTTTGTAATTTAACATGTTTCATTATGAAATATAAAATAAATAACAAAAACAAAACATGAATTGAATTGAAAATGTATGGCCACTTTATTCGTAAAACAAAAGCCCTTCATGTTAGTCTTTCCTTGTCCCAAATGTCATAGAATATTATGAGTTCGTTGGGTGTTTAAAGAGCTCATTTACACAATTTAACGTATGCGCTATTCTATACTCAGGCTTTTTAACTAATAAAAGTCTATTATTGGAATGTCAAACGAGTCGATTCACATCTACGTAAGCTTGGAGTTGTAAACAAAATAAGTCATACCTACTAAGTATAGACTTTTGTTTTGTTTTTAATATGCAGGAGTATGGAACAATAGTCACACGAATCAGATGAAATCATTTCGTATTGACAAAAGTACCAGTGAATTGAATTTGCTATTTAATGTGTCCATTTATTTGTCTACATGTAACGATAAATTCAACATCTCCATTGTTGAAGAAGAAATAGCCAGCGAAATAGTATGGTATAACTGATTAATATTAAAATAACGCATAACACCACGACATTGTTTTTGCCAAAAAAAAAAAAAGACTTAAAGAAAGAAAGTTTGCAAGGATCACATTTAAATAGGAGTCTGTGTATAAAAATATATATATATATCAGTACATCTAGCACAAACATAAATAAAGGTGACATTTACTTTTGGTTAATTAAAAGATATTGAAAAATAAATTGTTTTACTGACCACGGTAAACCATCCAGTTGTCTCCAATATCTGTTCCTTTACATTCTTAAAAAGATAAAATAAAAAAGAATATTATGTTTTATTGATGAATGAAAATAATGAACTTTCTCAGATATAAAACATAGTTTTTAAACAGAAGAAACTAGGATTAAAGTGCTTGTTTTTCGTTCTTTCTGGATATATTTCTAAAATTCTATATTTGGAAGGCACATTTCATATGCGTTTTAAAGGAAACATTTTCATATTTTACGCTGTAATAGGAATGTTTATCGGTCCTTCTGGTTTGATAGAATTGTGTGGAAAACCCGCTTGACGAACACAATAAGAAATAGTACGATACATAAAGTAGAATCATTATAAATAGTCATTTTTAAAGATTTTTGACTCAGAGCTATATGGTGGTCTCATAATTTTTATATACAATCTGTCAAAATTATGACCTATATTTTTGGCACATCTCCGTTCACCCAATAATAGGAAGTGAACACATCATAGTTTCAAAGAGAAAGTAAAACGTTAAACGATTGTCGTCCAATTAAAACACTCGTTACATTGTTCTTTGGTATATTTAGAATCCTAGATAAACCTAGATTTTCTCGAGAAATGAGATAATTCATTATCTGAAATTGAGAAAATTAATTATCTGGAGATAAATTAGGATTATCTTAAAATCGCTAAGAAAAACCTAGATTTTATTAATATTTTGAGATAAAGCGGGATTTTCTCCAGATAATGAATTTTCAGTATTTTCTGAGATAAACTAGGATTTTCTCGAATTTGAATTAAGCTGAGATAATCTTAGTTTATCTGAGATAAACCAGGATTATCTGAGATAATCCTATTTATCTGAGATAATCTAAGATTAATTAATAAAAGTGGTTCAGGCGGGCCATACACCTTGGTTGACAATGTGTTTTCAAAAATATGCTATGTTCCCCTATTAACCTTTTTTATTGTATTGAAAATATTGAACTTTTTTTGGAAATATTACAGTTCATGTACTTATTGATTATAATATGAATAGTTGATGATTGATCAGTTCACGAGTGTTACAGAAAAATAAATTGTTACTCTCTGAGGTTTGTGTCAAAGCATAATTTTCCCATCGTATTTACAAATGACGAATTGACACTTTAAATGGCTGTTTATTAAAGTTAAATACCTAGTTTCAGAGTACTTTGAGTTAAAGCAAAGTAAACCTTTGACATCAAATCTGATGCGTAATTTTTTTTTACAACTGTGTTATATAAGACAGTATGTCAAACGTAGAAACAAAAATCTTGTTTGGTTAGGAATAAATCATACAGTACCAATCTTATTCAAAAACAAAATTCGTTATAGGTTAGATTTTGCTATAAAAAAAAATGGTGTACCAAAACTGTTTGACAATTATAATTCAAATAAGTTTTTTCTTTTACAACAAATATATTATATCTTTACTGTCCCATCGTTTATTTAAAATCAACAACTAGACAATTTAAACCAAATAACAAACCGTACGTAACTTATGAAGCTATGAAATGTCTTAAGAATTGAATATATAAAAAAGCTTGACATTTTTGTAGAATTGAATTCGTTAATGTGTTTGATTATAGTTTATTATTGAAGTATATCCGTTTTCAATTTATTACGATTGAATAAATTGCACCAGATAAAACTCGGTTAATGCAGTTAAAAAACATTATATAATTGTATGGTGAACTTCAGATTAACCTTTGGATGATTAAATTTGAAACTGCTCTTTTCTTTTTATATGATTTAAATGCATAGGACAATAAAATAACTGAAATAATCATACTGAAATTTAAGAATGAAATGATTTTATATAAAGTAAAATCATATTCAGGACATAAAGAAAACGTTAATAGCGCTCTTCCAAATTTGCAGTGAAATTACCATCCCTGGTTAACATTATGCATTAAACGGAACATTTCATAAAAGCTTTGTATTTCAACTCTTTATACAGAGATTAAAGGGAGATTTATATATGTGACGAGTCTAGTTGCATCCGTGCAGTTCAGATGTTATAGGAATAATAATGGACTAATACCAAAACCCTTACGGCATAATACTTTACCAAGAAAATAGTTTGAAGCGGTTTCCCACAAAACAGTTTCATATATATTGCTTTTTTACATATTCACCAGAGAAAGGAGATGTCACGCAAAAGCTTTAATATATAACAAATATACCTTTTTATATGGTATCATGGTCATATCGTTATATATTTGTCTGTGTTTATATCGGTTGTTTTTGTTTAATGTTTTGCAATTTAATGATGCTTTAGTAAAGGTCAGAAAAACACAAACTGAGAAAATACTTACCAAAGAATTGAGAGCTAACAGGTTGTACTCTGCACTGACATTTACTGGTTTGTCAGGTAATACAAGTTTATTATAACCTTCATCAGTCTGATTAAATAATAACTTGTGAATTTTATTTGCGTCGCTCACAGTGTAAGATGCCGATGGTTTCAATAAACCTAGAAAATATATTAAATATTCCTTATTTTAAACTACAGAAAGCTGCAATATTTATATAAACACAGGACATGCATGACTACAACTGACTAGTTTATATTTTATATTATGCAATTGGTTGTATGAGAGTCGTTGGATTGCATATCTGTTAGGAAAAAAATATCAGACAGTTACCGACTTATATACATGTATATCACAATAGGTCAACCCTACACATACGTCAAAAATCAGTTTTGAATATGTTTTACGAAATATCAAAGATCTACCATACACACCTAAACTCAAAACATACAAACAAAACAGATATTTTATACAATAAAATCCAACGAGACTTTTGACTTAAGACATGCACTTTACGGCAGAATAAATTAGCTCACGGAAGAGGACGTAAAGGATACAGCATAATCTTATTTGTATCTTATTCAGATAAAGAAAGGCATATATGTGTTAACCTGTTGTTTTATCAGGGATGGGGTAATTACAATGTGTTATCGTAATTGATGAGTTTAATTTATTACACTATTTTTTCTCTGGAATTCGACAGTACTCTGGTAAAGTAAAATTTTGCGAATACCTGTAGTTGTTCTTAGATCGATTACAGCAAAAAATGTCTTTTTCTAATCGAAAACATTTTGGTTACGTATACGTTTCGATAATTTACGTAAAGAAAGTTTGATGAAACTAGATCAATTTATATATTTTCTGCTTTTTTTGGTTAAGATAAAATAGAACGTATGACTATGGCTTTAGAGTTAAAAGTCTTATTCAGACCGGTTGTTGTTGTAAAAATGAGTAATGCTCAGACAGATTTCTTTTCATATTTTACTTTATTGCGTAACATGCTTTTGTCACATAAAAAAATTAACTACTCTACAAATTTTAAGTTCAAATTTATTTATGTACTCCAATGAAGTATAAAGTTTAGTTTGAACATATCTTATTGTCCAGAAACTAAACAAACGGATTAAACACAAGTTTTACAAGTAAGTAATGCTTTCTACAAAATAAAACTTGATTGCATTAGCCATGTTAGCATTACTTACAGTGAAGCTACAAATTATATATCACACTTAGAAATATCTAAGCTTTGGTTTCATTATTATGTTATGATCTAAAAATCACGAAAAGATAATTATTCTTCTTGAAGATGCACACATGCATTGTAATTTTAGTTCAGCAGTAGATACACATATTCCATTTTGACACTTACTTAAATGTTTGAGTATACATTTAAAAAGATAATAGAAAACATTAACTGCTGTCTTGGTTTGACTTTACCGAAGATAATAAATTAATGATATGCAAAATTTGCTTTGATTTAAAAATTTTTTGAATAAAGTTAGAGAGTGACAATGTAAGACCCTTTGTTAAACTTTTTATACGATTAACAGTTTTGTAACCAGTAATAATGAAGATTATCTAAACAATTTGATAAATTCATGCGTATAATAATGTTTTGGGTATTTCCATCTCTTAAATTATCCTATCATTAAACAGTATAACTGTGTTAAAATGTCGTCAATTAATTTTCTTTTCTATGTAGCATGTTATAGCAAGGGATAAAATATAGTGACTGTTATTATTTTTTTTTAAATATTCAAACTCATCATCAATACCAAAATAAAAATTGTGTACGGTAGACGCGAGTTTTGACTCATCGGTGACGTTCGAATTAAAGTAAACGTTTGTAATCGATTACATAAAACAAAATCAGAGTAATCGACATTTTTTGATCGTACAAAAATCGTTTTGCAATCGATCATTAATATATTACTGTAAATAGTTATCATGTCTATTTTTTTTAGAGAAAGTAAAACACTTATCTTCAAACCTGTAATTTTTGCATTATACAATTACATAAACCTGACATTTTAAGTACTTTCCTCCAACATACCTGTACAAATTAGTACAAACAAAGTTCCTCTTATTGTGTAAAATCCTCTAGATATCATTTTTTCAATTGAAATGTTAAGCAAGCAGCCAGTAAAGTTGTTTGTTTCTCAATTTATTTTATATTTCGATTAAGTATTTAAATAACTTATTTTATCGATAGCCACTGTAAAATAAAATGTCTCTGCTGGTGGTATCTGTCATCGGCAACTTATCCATTCATTGTTTTCTCAATTACGAAAAATATTCAATTAAGGATGGATAACTTTTAAATCTTAAATCGGGAATGCATTACTTTTATATAGGTTGACTGTATTACCTCCTGGATTAAATCACAAAAAGGTGGAGCCAGAAAAACACGTGCACAAAATAATGTTATCTATAAGTCAACATTTAATCTATCTTTATCATTGTTTTATTAATAAACATATATCCCCACAGAGATACAATATTATATCCTGTTAAATGGTATTTTTAAACCATTAAACCTTGATTCTGTCAATTTTGATCACATTTCTTTTTGAACAAGGCCAATATAGATAAAAGTTTATACATTTATCATGTCATGTTTCACAATCATTTCTTTTTGCAACTATATCATGTATATGCATGGCATTATGTATTCAACTTGATTTGTTTTTATGAATATTTGCCTCCACGAAGATATACAATCAATGTCTATGTCCTGTCAGAAACTGTCCTGAAAGCACTTAAGCATGCTTCTTTGTAATCAATCAGAAAGACATTTTCGAATATTAGAATTCTGTTTCCTGTTTCTTTCTTATTGATAACAAAGACATTTCTAGAAATAAATTTGATGTGACAAAAATACCAGTTTATAAATTTTTTTTCATGTCTTACAATTAATTCCTTTGAATATATATATAAGTAACCACTTGTCTACCATGTTTTCGTACTCTCGTTAACAGTAATAGAGAAACAAAACAAAAATGTGATATTTTCTAAATACTTTTAAGGTATTAACCAGCAAAAAATTCAATGCATTAATGTAGGAGTGTTTTATTTGCATAATTTGAGCTTTGGGTGAAGTTGCCATTCATGAAAATAAATGACATAGAAGGACTCCGTAAAATATTTTGAATTAAAGTAATACTTTACAGTCGTTAATGCAATTTATGGAAATGTCCGTCGACAAACTTAAAATTGTTCCTTATAAAAATGTAACCAACTATTAAAAAGTTATTCACAAAAGTTACTTCATTGTAGCGACTCGTAGAGGGTTTAACATCAGTTTTGTTGATGCAATGCATTTTGATTTACATGTTCCTATAAACAATGCTTTATCAAACATGTCGCTGTCTGCCTTTTCTGGGTTATCGTTTGTTGGTTGTAGAATAAATCAGTATGGTGGTGTCCTCTTCTGATTCATGTCACTTTTTTCCTGCCATATAAGAATGAGGAGATGTGGTATGATTGTCAATGAGACAACAATCCACCAAAGTTTAAATGAAGTGGATGTGAGCAATAACAGGCAAGTGTATGGCCTTCAATAATAAGAAAAACCCAAACCATGTAGTTGGCTATAAAAGGCCCTAACAGGAAAATTATGAAACAATTCAATTGAGAAGCTAGCGGTCTAATTTAAAACAAAACAATTTGCGAAAAACAATATGACAGACATGAACCAACAATAAACAATTTACGAAAGGTTTCTGACTTGGGACAGACATAAAAAATGCGACAGGGTTACACATGGTTGACGGCTCCAACCTTCCCCTTATGAGACAGTGATGTAACAGCACAATACAAGAACAAACTATGCAAAGCAATAAACGGAAAACATATATGTGAAACAGCAATAAACGACAAACATTAAATTACAGGTCCCTGACTTGGGACAGGCAAATATAGAATGTGGAGGAGTTAAACATGCATTTGATTGCTCGCTATGCAGTATGGATTTTGGTGATTGGTGAATGCCCTATAGTTGTTAATCCTCCATTGATCTCTGGCAGATATCTGTATCATTGACAGCTATACTATATCTACTTTTAATTTAATCAAATTATCAGGAAATTGCTAGATAAAGTTTAAACTCAAAACCGGTTATTAAACAATTCATGTTTTTTAATTTTTAAAAATGTTATCATAAAAAGTAATATCGGCTTTTAAAGTCGGGATTTTAATTTCATTTTGTAATGATGTTTCCAAAAAATTATGCTGTTAGAATGGTAAATGCCAACACTGATCAATTAGAAAGCAGCAAAATATTGCAGAAGAAGATTCAACAAAAGCTAACTCGTTTTGCCACAAAGCAAACTGTTGTCGTTTGTTGCTGTGTTACACATTTGTTTTTCGTAAACTTTTTTGTACATGAATTAGGCCGTTAGTTTTCTTGTTTAAATTGATTTACATTTGTCATTTCGGGGCCTTTCATAGCTGACTATGCGGTATTGGCTTTGCTCATTGCTGAAGGCCGTACGGTGACCTATAGTTGTTATTTCTGTGACATTTGGTCTCTTGTGGTGAGTTGTCTCATTGGCAATCAGACCACATCTTCTTTTGTATATATACTATAATCTACAAAAAAGAATATATCGCTCAGAGTCTAGACAAATTGAGATATATTTAACAAAGACTTGACTAGTTATTTCTACTATAAACACAATAAAACTTTTTATTACATTCACCACTGATGAGGATGCCAGACTTTGGACAGGTTCATCAAACTTTGAAGGTATAGGCGGCAGCGAATATAGAAAAATTAGTCAATCCTACCCCCTAATTGAATAATATTTTATTTCTTATAATTGTGTTTCTAGAAAAGACATAAAATTTACAAAACTCGAACTGAGTCTTACCTTTCTCAAACGCTTTACTATGGGAAATTTCAAAAGGGTAATTTTTTTGAATTGTTCATGAATAATATCCCATAATTTTAGAGGTAACAAGAAGGTTAATGAAGACAATGAACATAACCTAGTTTTTACTTCTAAAATAATAACTAGAATTAAATGTATTTTCCTCTGCACTTTTTGATTATAAAATAAAATTATAAAATAGTGAGAATTAAATATCTGGACTGGTCCAAATACGCTATGTAATGAGCAAAGTTATATGCATAAGGGGTGTTCAAACTGCTTTCAAATAGTGTAGCGAATAAAAGTTCATTTAAAAAGGATATTTTTGAATTAAAAGCTGATCATTCCTCAACACAGAGAACAATATAATGACAATTCTATGTTCAGTAAAATTTATACAAACCTGTTAAACAAAAACAGGAAAAAGGGGCGAAAATCCTAGAGAAAAATTGGAATATAAAGTCGAAATATTAATTGAAAACAGCACGGCCAAAACAAAATAACAAATAGACAACGACAACCCGCAAAACTCTACACGGAAAACTGCAAAATCTAATATTTCACGAATTAAAATGAGGCACCTATATGTATATCGTTTCACGTCCACATCCCTACCAAACGGAAATTGAAATGTGCATCTGGAGCTTGTAAAATGTAATGTTTTATTTTACTTAGGACAGGTTAATAATATGAAACTAGGACAATGAGTACGGTTATTGTCTTCGGATAGACAGTTTTCAAGTTATAGCCCACCACCAAAAAGAACATGAAAACAGCAGATAAGGATACATTATATTTTATAAACACATATATGTAGCTAACTTTTTTTATAATATTTCACATCAGACAACATTAAAATTAATCGGACAGTTATGTTATCACCTTGAGTTAATACATTGAGAGTACCTCGTTATCGAATTGAAGTTGAATATTAACATAAAATTTCATTTCTAGTTCTAGTTGATTTTGTGATATTTTTAAAATACATATTAGAATCAAATTCAAAACTTTGGGCTAGATTGTCGAATTCTAGTTTAGAATTCGATTTAAAACTCCGGCTACAGTTATAATTTGATTTAAAATGAAACGTCAGAAACATATGGGTGTGAAGTAAAGATCTTATGGTTTGATAGGTGTTGTCTCATGTTAGGTTTTTGTCACCTAGGGATTTTGATGCATTGAAAGTTTTTTTAAAACAGTAACTATAAAGCTATATTCTTCTTTGAATTCAGATTAATTAGAATGAATACTTTTATTACAAAACGTAGAACTTTTAAACTGGACGTTTCGTAGTATAATAAAATTGAGAATGGAAATGGGGAATGTGTCAAAGAGACAACAACCCGACCATAGAACAGACAACAGCAGAAGGTCACCAAGTTTATTTTCAAAATAAGAAGATAATTTTGCTACAACAACGTTTACTATGAAAGGATAATCTAGAGATATATAGAAATAAGAAGATGTGAAATGAGGGCCAATGAGACAGCTGCCCATCTATGTCACCATGTGTAAAAAGTAAACAATTATAGGTCAAAGTACGACCTTTAATACGGAGCCTTGGCTTACACCGAACAGCAAGCTATAAAAGGCCCCAAAATGACTAGTGTAAAACAAATCAAACAGGAAAACCAACGGTCTAATCAACATAAAAACGAGAAACGAGAAACACTTATGAACCACATAAACAAACGACAACCACTGAACAGGCTCCTGACTAAACATATATACATATATACATAGAAGTCTAAATTGAAAACAAGGTTCAAACCTATAATTGCGTTGGATAAAAACCGAAATTTTTATACGTGTGCATGCAAAACAAATTTCTTGGTAGAAGGGTCTAAATACAGCACAGACAACATTTTCCAAAAGACCAATAAAGTGAAAAAAGTATTTTTTAAAAAAACGCATTTGACTAGCAGGTCAAACAACGGATGTTCTCAAACCCTGCTGACTGCCATTGGCGGTTGCCAAATAAACGGATCACCAGATGTAACAAAATGGATCTTAACTATTAATTTAATACCAAACAGAAAACAAAAAACTTGCGGAAAAGATGGTATACCGCAACCAAAGGTGCTAAAATTAGTACACCATATTCGGATTTCGACAATTAATGTCTCTTCAGTGATGTTAGGAATCGAAACGGTATTTGGAAGGCCATATAATTTACCTCAATTTAGGATAGACTCTTGAACTTTGAAGAGTCGAAGTAGGATGAACGGATCATATTAACCGGAAGGCAAATATAATACAAGCCCAAACGAAAAAATATAAACAAGCCTAAATTGAAAACAACGTTCAAACCTATGATTGCGTTGAATAAAAACCGCAATTTATATTTACAGTGCTTTATAGTTGTTATCATTCTCGTCCTTTAGTCTCGGGTGAATAGTTTCTCATTTAACATCATACAACATCTCCTTATCTACTATATCCATATTTATTACCAGTTGGAGAATGCAGTACAGAAAGCCTT